TGCCCCTCCCCCGCCCCTTCGGTTGCTGTATTTTTAATGCCTCGTTTCGTTTTTTTTTTTCGCCCGTCTGCTGTTTAGCCCTCTGCGTTTCCGCGCCAATCTTTTTCCTACCATCTCCGAGCATAAACTACATTTTCTCTTCTTCAATAATTTCTCCGTCTCCTTCTCAGCGTTACATCCGTCCGTCTTCAACGTTCGCGTCCCCCTTTCTTTTCACGATCTCGTCTTTTCTGTTTCCGCGCTCCACATTCGTAGCCCCGAATTCCCTTTGCGCGCTCCTCTTCCGCTATCCCGCGCGTCGCGAAGTCATTTCTTCCGGCCAGCTTCTGAGAAATTTTATAGAACGAGCCGCGCCCAGTACTCGTTAAAGCAATTAGTACCTGTACCTGGTTCATCTCTCTTGCCAATTTCTGCCATCGTGAAACGTCGCTTCCTTTCTTCTATTTTTTTTATAAATTTTATATAACTTTTTGTGTACAACGTAAAAACTGAAATAACGTCTTCGGATATATTTGACACGTTCACTGAATTTGTTTCTACAAAATGAAATATTAGGTCGTTCCGTTTTTTTACTACTAATCCTCTTTTCGATCGGCAAAGCCATTGTATTGTCGTCACTTCTTTTTATTAAAATCTAGTTCAAATATAGTTTATTGAAACGTTGATATTTTCAAATTTTTTACCCGTTAATAAGCCTTGTTTCTCACAAGATTCGGTTTTATTATATGATAACAAAAATATTCACGCAATCGAGAAAATTTCGCCGTGTGAGCCAGTGTGGATTCCAAAATTCGAGCTTGAATTGTTGATGTTGGTATGTTTAAAATTTCAGACCGTTTGTTTCCTATTAAATTACAAATTTTATCCTCGTCAGTTTCAGAATATCAAAACTTACTCTTCTCGGTAAATACCGCTATATTTAATTAACAATAAAATTGTAGTATTGCTTCGCGAATCGTGAGCGCAAAGAATTGCACAATTTTTAACGACCTCGTCCACGCGTATAGTTACTTTTGTCTTTCGAGTTAACCCGTTCTCTTGTGGGTCACTATGGGTTATTGTAACCAGCCTTGGTTAACCGGGTTACGGTTAGGGTTATGCGGCGGTTGGAATCCCTGCTGGAGGGTCGAGCGACACGTAGCTGGAGGTAGCACGATAATTAGCCCCCAGTGATTTTGAGTAACCAATTTATTTTACTCGGATTTGGTTTCAGTTCCTATCGCTCTATGCTAAATCCGAGACCGTGAATACTTGCAGAGGTTTATTCGTCGGAATTAAGATGTCGTTGGTCGCAGAGAATTTTGTAACGAAAGATAACGCATTCATGGAGTTCGTATTGTACTTTGCTAGACGAAAACGATGGTCTTTGAACGGAATGCGAACAACATCCGCCCCGTCAAAGGTTCCTCGCAAAACGTATAAACTTTTCAAGCCCCGGCGTGCTGTTAACTTAGAGTCGCGTCTAGTTTTCGTGAAACGGCACGATGTACATATGCGTTTCGCGCGTTGAAAACGGAATTCCTAAGTTGCAAACACACCAGCGGTAGAGCGTAAAGCTTTTATGCGCTGGCCTGTCGCGCAATTAAAAATATAACTCCGACCGCGGGAACCGTGGAAGTTGGTCAGAAAGTGTTCTGAGAAACATCCCCTAAACACAAGCCATGCATGATGTGTACGAGCGTGTAGGAATTAGTGGAATTTACAGCAGAAAGTCACACGATTTCCATCTTGGCCGGGATGGAACTCACCTGCATTTGTTCTGACCTGCTTTACTAATCCAAGGTGTCCTGAACATCGTGGCACAGCTTAATATCATTCGGTTGGAAATGGTAATTTTTCATGGAAAATTAAATGTAGCCAAATGTTTTGAAAGATTTGATATTTCATTAGCTATTGTCACAGACGAGGTATAGGGCAGTTCGATTATTTAAAAGTATTACAAATCCCCTAATATTAGACGTAATGAAAATGTAACAGGAATTTTCAAAATAACGTGAAAACAGAAGTCTTCGGAAAAGATCGAACGAAGTATTCTACCTATATATTCGGCCACTTTTGGAAAAAATTTTAATGGGAGATTCTAGAGGCCAAAATAAGATGAAAATCAAGAATAGCACTTTGTTGATTGAGGTTTCGTTAAAAAGTTATTAACGCATAAAGTTCTACTTTTCGGCGAAATTAAAAAATTTCAAATCGCTTTGGAAAAATTATTTTCGGTGGCGGGGGTCAAGTATGATCATTTTTGGTGAATATACATACCACTAAAATCCTACCCACTTTCTAGAAAAAATTCGAGAAGATGTGAAATTTTTCGGCGAAATTAAAAAATTTCAAATCGTTCTAAAAAAATTATTTTTCATTACAAGGGTCAATTACAATCATTGTTAGTGAATAGACATACTCCCGAAATCCTACGCAGTTTCGAGAAAAAAATTCATTACCGACAATTTCATGTCTGACCATACCATTGACATGTTTCACTGAAATTTCATGCGTATCTTAAAAACATCGTAACTCCTGAACGGATCGAAGGATTTTAATGTTTCAAAAGGCAAACGACGCGTATTTTGGTGTAGAATATGTAGAAATTCCAAAAATATTCGAAAAGTTGTTCCTTGAACCCGTAAAGTGATGAAAACCCCATAAAAATGGTCCAATGTTCAAACAGCCATAACTCCTATAATAGTAAATATATTTCAATGAAACTTTTTTCTGAAGTAGATCTCGTGAGCACCTACAAAAAGGGAGTAGACAACTTTTCTGTAGGGCGTCACACAAAATTATTAAAAATGAAAAACGAATTTTTAAGGAAAATCGAACAGTGAAATTTTTCCGCGAAAAACAAATATTTCAAATCGTTCTAAAAAAATTATTTTCAGTTGCAGGGGTTAATTAAAATCATGTTTGGTGAATACACATACCCTCGAAATCCTACGTAGTTTCGAGAAAAAAATTCGAATACGTCGAGAAATATTTCGACAAAATTAAACGATTTCAAATTGTCCTGGAAAAATTATTTTCAGTTGCAGGGGTTAATTACAATCATTTTTGGTGAATAGACATACCTTCGAAATCCTGCGCATTTTGGAGAAAAAAATTCAACCATGTTTGACATTTTTCAGCGAAAGTAAAAAGTTTCAAATCGTTTTAAAAAAATTATTTTTATTTGTGGAGGTCAATTGCAATCATTTTTGGTCATTACACATACCCACAAAATCCCACTCACTTTCGAAAAAAAAATTCGTGTATGTGTGTAATATAAATTGGTATTCTTAATTTTCTCTAGAATCTCTCATTAAAATTTTTCTCAGGGGTGGCCAAACACTCTGTATAATGCGAAAGTATAATATTAAACGAGAGAATAGCAATCGTGGACATATGAGTGTTTGTAGGCAAAATGATATTTGTCGTTTGATATTTTCTTTGAACGTGCGGGTGACCAAGTCGAATGTTTTGCAATTTTCTGTGCACGTTGCGCAGCAAGATCGAAAATGTTTGTGCAATACCGTAACGAAGTTAGGAAAAGTGGAAAATGAATTAAGGCGATCACGAATACGGGGATAAAGGCATTTCTCGAGGCTGTCGACGTTCGAAATTCGTCAAGACGTGAGAAACATCATTTATAAATAAATTAGAAAGTAGTAAGACGAGGTCCCCGCGGGACTTTGAAACGAACTTTAATATTTCTGGAATACACGCTGTTCAAACAAGATAGAAAATGCAAATGATACCTTGTATCTCCATGTAGTAATAAAGACATTATTAAACTTTAATAACTGTATGTAACGAAGCTAGACAACTAAGAGAATAAACTTCCCGTAGCTCCAAGAGGTTCCAATTTGCATAATAAAATAGAACGGTTGACGGAATCAAAGGAAATTTCATTATCGTGCCAGCGAACTCTTGCGACAGATGCGCGCAAAGTAATTCGGTAATCGATTTGAAAATAGAATGCCGAAACTGTTAGTCGATTTTATTGCGACGATATTCTTTGGGCGAGACGAGTCGGCCCGCGATCGGAGAAATCGTAAAGTCGCAAAGCGGATCAGTCGTACTCGTGAAGTAGCGTCCGTTTAGTCCCCTTAAAAATGGCGAGGCTTTGTGTCTTTCCCTTCCAATTCCACGCTTCCGTTTCCGTTACGCGTTAGCCAGTCGTTTCGGGATTCTATCCAGTGTACTGTTTTTCCAGCGAACTCGATGCTTTCAAAACGTTTAATCGTTCGCTGTGTCTTCATTAGCGTTTGTTAACGAAACTGGTTAAATCTAGATTTTGTAACATTGCTTGCCGAAGGAAGACGTAAATCAAGTTCACTGTGTTTGTTACAGGGATGTTTGTACCGTGTGTTTATACAGTACAAGTTAAACAAACTTTCAATATTGCGTTACTGGAGTAGTTGAAAACTATTTTGAGCAGCCTAGAAGAGGCTAGTACAACGATTTGTCCTAGAACGTAAATTTGTAGATTGTTTAAGCAATAAATGCGCGAAAGGAGTTCTGAAACATAATTAAAATTTGAAAAATTAAACATTAATAGTCTTTACTGCGTGTTAACAATTTATAAGGTAACAAAATTTTAATATTGCGTTACTGGAGTAGTTGAAAAGTATTCTGAGCAATCTAAAAGAGACTAATGATTTGTCCCAGAACGTAAATTGTTTAAACGATAAATCAATGCACGGAGTTTTTATTATCGAAAACATAATTACAGTTTGAAATATTAAACATTAATACTAGTTTGAAAATGTGTAACGTAACAATGTTTTAAAATTGAACACGGAACAATCGAGTCTTTTATGTTTTATACGCGTTTCCATTTCATTTCTGGAACATTTCCAATTCGGTAGAACAATTATTCGCAGTGAAATTGCACAGGGTACATGCAATATACATTTTTGAAATTGATAATAGTCACGTACACGATAGCAATACTACAGAGACTCGCGATTTTTATATTCGGTTAAAGTAATTTTTATAATTTTCTGTTTTCCAGGAACAAAGGATAGAATGATTGGTCCTCGTGCAGTTCAGTTATGTATTACGTTCGTTGAATGCAACACGGGACGAACACCTCGAAACAGGTTTGTTATTCCTATAAATATAGTTATGTATTCCAAGTTTCTGCACTTTTTTTTTTTTTTGATTGTTTTTAAATGACCATTGTGCCGCGAATCGTTACAGAACAGAGTTTCCACGCGTTCCTCGTCCTACTAAAACGGTCGATCAGAACGCAACTGGTCATTAATGACAAAATTACCCTGTTGGAATCGTAGGTACCATTTGTGTGCTGCTTTGTCAGCAACATGATCTAGATTCTACTTTGGAATCATGATTAAATTTATATAGTAAAACATGTTGATGATTTTTGTTAAACTGCAACTCGAAAGTTATCAATCACCCTTTTTTGTGATTAGCACAGAACGGAAAACTTTGGAGTAATCCAAAAGAAGAGAACAAAAGTTATCAAATGATGAACAGTCCTTCACAAGATTAGCCACAGTCGATCTATCGATAAAAATAACCGTGTTGCATGAAACGTTAGTTCACGACTGATTAAATTTTCTAGAATCTTGAGCATGACATTTTGCTTACTAACAAGACTTAAGGGGCCATTCTACCTTATAGGCACGAAAAATACGTGTTTCTTTGTGATTTTTTTTTGCGGGCTATTAAAGAGCGATTAATTCCGTGTTTTGTAGATACATTTATTATATATTTAGCTATATTTACGAATTTTTGCAACGCATAATATCTATTGATTACGCTGTTTTTGTTGATCAACAAACAACAGTTTTTAGGAACGGTGCTTGACTGTGTACAGGTATGTGATATCTTGCGAACAAGTTATCCGAAAACCAAAAAGCAACGATATTCTTAATATAGATGAGTGTGGTTATAGCGTGAACTAGGATCTTTTCAAAAGAACAAGAAATGGCAAAATGGCAGCTATTTTACGAAAAAATACTGAATATTTTCATATATTCGGCTGCCTTTTTGTTAATTAATGAAAAAGTATTGCAGATATCGCAATTATCCTAGTTCATGCTATAGGGAGACTAGTTCTAAAGATACTGTATAAATTTCATGCTGATATCTTGAATGATTTTTCTGTTATCGCATACGCAGTGCCGAAAAATGTAGTTTCGAGAAAAAGTCCAGTTGTTATACCTACGCGCGGTACATTTCAGCAGGCTATAACTTCGTTAGTTTTCCGAATTTCAATTTAATATTTGGTAGTTATATTTTCGAGACTACATACTAAAAGACAGTGCAAACAAAAATTCGATTTTTAAAATCCCACAAGGTAGAAAAGCCCCTTAAAGTTTGAAACTGACATGGAGTTAGCACATTTAGTCAGCACTATTTTCAAATTACCAAACGATCACGTTGTTTCTTAACTGGTATCGGTAAACGTATGTCTTCGTGCGTTAGAAAGAAATATACGAAGGCAAAGGTGTCCAAAAATTAATTCAGAAAATGACGAAGGAATTTTCCAACTTGGATGATGCAGCCACTGTTAGTGAGTTTGTCTGATATTTCAAATATTTAGTGTCAAGAAGAACTTGCAGAAATGCAAAATGATCAATTAAAACTTTATTTGATATAAAAGGAGACCGAAATCAAATACCCAAATGCAATCAAATGTGCAAGAGAACTGTTATTACCGTTTCCATCTTCATATTTAAATAACATTCATAATTAAAATATAAATGATTTGCTGCTGAAAAAAGAAGAAATCGGCTGGATATAACAAAAGGGGCAGACTTGAGACTGAAATTAATTAAATTGGAACCTCACATAAAATCTCTTTGCAGCAAGCATCAAGCGCAAGGATCTCACTAAAAATAATAAATAATTATTAATAATTAAAATAATATAGAAAAATCTTCCATCAAAATTATGTTTTACTTGAATCTCAATTCTCCATTATATGTTTTGAAAATTTACTTACCGTGTTTGCTCAATAATTTTCTAATGCTTTCTTCCTAAAATCTATCATACGAGTCTCTTTAGTGAGCATTTCAATTTTTGTATACGTTGAATTTTAGAAAGGGTTGGATGGGGTACAGCGCAAAAAAGGTTGGGAAACACTGAAGCAGAGGATTACGAAGATGTTGGAACAACATGGCTATTTGTGTTGAAGCCTGATGTTTCCAGCATCCTTCCGTTCTCGTCGTTAAGTCCTTGAAGTCCTGTACCGCAAAACGATCGTCAGATTACTTGGAAATTCATTCCCGGTACCGTTGGCCAGTCCCAATAAAAACACTTGGAGGAACAGACGTACCAGGAGGGTGGAGGGGGGAGGGTCTGAAATTTGTGAGCGCGGAGTTATTACCAGCGGACAGTGTCCTCGCGGCGAAAGAACGCGCTTTGTGTCGGCTGTCTCCCCTTGTCAGTTTTGTCGCTGGCGTCGCGCGTCACACAGAATATACATATAAAGGATCGTCCTTTGTGTCTGGTCGTGGTCATTTTTGCCCTGTCGCGACGACACAGCAGTCTCGAGAACGTGTCGGGCCGCGTTATCGGACGCGCTGTCCGATAGCTGCGCGTTTCGTCGAGATCTCGAAAAGGCGATTGATTTGCCAATCGAGCTTGACCCTGCTACGCTCGTGTCTCGAGCTATTGTCAGCCAACTGTAAGAGAATCGTTTGGGGACAACTTGGCAGCAAAAAGGAACTGTTTCTTTCTTTTTTTTGCATTCCCTGAATGAGGGGAAAGCCTGGCTTCTCTAAGGTTTCTTTTGCACTCTGCTGGCATCTTTTTTATCCGACCCCCCTCCCCTTCCTGCCTCCCTCCGCCCACGACGGATGTTGCTGCTTTCCTTTTATTCCGTTCCTTCGGATCCTTTTGACTGGTATGCTTTTTATTTTGCATCGTAGCCAAGCAAGGTCCGATTTCAGTAAAAGTAGAGAGCGAACGGACGAGTTTTGAAATTTGACACGTTTATCGAAGTATAATTCGAAATATTGCGCCATCGAGTGTCGGATTTAAAATAATACTTCAAACATATCGTCAAATTTTATGACTGGACTGTGGATCTTTACGCAAATTTATATTTTTAGAATTAAGAGGGCTTGTGTAAAATGGTACAACGAGAAGTGATATTTGGCTATTTTTTTACAGCATAAGGGTTTTTTAAAACTTCTCGCCACCTTTCACATACAATATTCTATAACATTACAAGATACAAGTATTTTTTTTTCGTTACGTTTTATCGACTTTGGATGAAATGATAAATGTTATTCTTTATGCACAGTTTAGCATTTTTTTCCTTTGATCTAGAATAAAAAATCGAACGACATTTTGTTCATAATGGTATTACGCGTCGCATGAACTAACATCCTTCATAATAACAATTATTTAAACTATCTTTATTGCATAATTAAATTAGTTTATTGCAAGAATCATTTTTTTGTGTTCAGAGTAGCGTATCTTCGACAATTTTGCATTTTTTAAAGATGATTTTTAGGACATTCTGTAGTTTTATGAAAATTAAAATTTTCCATAATTTTATAAGCCACATTACCATCCATTCAATTTTATATAGTTTTTATTTTTTGAAATCATTATGTATTCTAATGTAGTGGCTAAAAAGTAAATCACCTGTTCATTTTTGCAGCTCGTTGAGATTTGTACTGTTCGATGAATAACTTCCACTTTTTTACGCCACTGTATCGTCGCTGCAAAACTTGTTCGATTTTTTATTAAAACGTACTTCAACGCTTTTCACTAAAACGTTGACACTTTCAAATTGTTTACCCACTGATAAGCCTGGAGATTATTGCATTTTATTTTTTACAAGGTTCGGTTTCCAAACTTCAAGCTTTGGTATAATATCTATTTTTTTCTATCAATTGTCGATGTTAGTGTGTTTAAAATTTTAAAAGTTAACTGGCAAATTTTGTATGTTTTCTATTAAATAGCAAATTTTATTCTCGTCAATTTTGGTATATCGAACGACCTAATATACAGGGTGTTCGGCCACCTCTAGCAAAAATTTTAATGAGCGATAGTAGAGACCAAAATAAGACAAAAATCAAGAATACCAATTTGTTGATGGAAGCTTCGTTAAAAAGTTATTAACGTTTAAAGTGCCGCCCTTACTGAATTTTTTTCTCGAAAATGCGCAAGATTTCGGGGGTATGTCTATTCACCAAAAATGACTGTAATTGAACCCTACAACCGAAAATAATTTTTCCACAACGATTTGCAATTTTTTAATTTTCTCGAATAATTTCACACTTCTCTATTTTTTTTCTCGAAAGTGAGCAGGATTTCGTGGGTATGTCTAATGACAAAAACTGATTGTAATTGACCCCCGCAACCGAAAATAATTTTTCCACAACGATTTGCAATTTTTTTTCTCCGTTGAAAAATTTAGGCACCTAATTGGGTTTTCAGTAAGGAATTTTTTTCTCGAAAGTGCGTACGATTTCGGAGGTATGTGTAATGATAAAAAATGATTGTAATTGATCCCCGCAACCGAAAATAATTTTTTTAGAACGATTTGAAAAATTTTTTTTCGCCGAAAAATTTCAGCACCTACTCGATTTTTTTTCTCGAAAGTAGATAGGATTTCGGAGGTATGTGTACTCACCAAAAATGATTGTAGTTGGCCCCCGCAACCGAAAATAATTTTTCCAGAACGATTTGAAATTTTTGAATTTAATTGTTAATAACTTTTTAACGAAGCTTCCATCAACAAATTAGTATTCTTGATTTTCGTCTTATTTTGGCCTCTACTATCGCTCATTAAAATTTTTGCTAGAGGTGGCCGAACACCCTGTATAGGGTGAATCACGCAATGGGAACAGATTATATCTAACAGATAGGAAAAAACTACAAAGAAAAGTTGAATGGTATAATACTGTCTATTTTTCTGTGATTTTGCTTTTCTTCACAAGTGCAAACAATGCACCAGAAAAATGCAGATTTTTTCTCGATGGAATTGCATATTGCTTTGGAATTCGGACATATGTAATCGATTGCATTCATCGTCAATTGCGAAATCATGATTCTTTAAGGGGGGTCCCATTTGAGACCTCAAAATTATCAATTTTTTTTCACTTCATTTTTTGAA